CTTCAGGGTCGCCAGGCTCTCTGGTTGTTGAGGTTGACATTTCACGCCTGATGTGAATAGGCAAGTCGGGAACCGCTCAAATGCAAGATGTTACATAGCTTCCCAGTAGCACCGCAAAGTGACAAACCAGATTCAAGCTGATCCGGCGTGGATTTCGGGACGGTGCCGACGCCACAGCTTTGTGGGTCCCTGGGTGGCATTGCTCGAGAAAACACAAGCACAAGCACCTGGAAGACTTCGGCGAATGGCCCGTCATGGATCGGTGAGCCGCAGTCCTTGCCAGCACAAAAGCGATGCCGATGATGTTATTATTCCATGGCAAATACGGTCGCTCGTTCGAGCATTGCGGCCAAGATACTCGCGTTGCAACCTTGGTAGCGTTGATGTGCTCAGCGCATGGAAGCAACTTGTCCATTAGCATGACTGCAACAGTGCCAGCCAGTGTGAACGAAAAAACACTAGACGACAGTATGGCCCGAAAGAAAGCAGGAGGAAGGAGCCAAGAAGATACTACAAAAGAAGGCATGACCATGAACAATGAATAAATAACCAGGAAAATGATGAATGGTGATGTGATGAGTGAAATGCCATACATTCACAGTTTGCTGCATCTCTTCTCCCCACAAGAGTTTGCTCCAGGGCTGGCGCCTGAGTGACAATCAGAAAAAAATGTCAATGAAACCTAGTTCGTTTAGATACGTTGGCAAAGCTGTTACAGATAGACGCCTTTACGCGCAGCAGCTTTTGCACACAGATGTGTTTGCGCAGAGAGGCTGATACGCAGAGCAACATTTGCACACAAACGCTTTTACACACAAACGCCCCCTCAAGCGTAGAAACTTTTACACAGATGCTGTCACACAATGTTACACACAGACGCCTTTACACATAGAAGCTTTTACGCAAAGAAGTCGCTTCTAATTACAGCAAGGCTTTTGCACAGTCAAGCTTTCACGCACACACACACACGCTTTGCATATAAACTTTGACGCAGATAAACAGCTACAGTGCCCAGAGCAGCTTTTGCACGCAGGTGCTTTGACACACAGACGCGCTTTTAGACACAAACGATTCTACACACAGAAGCTTTTACACACAGAAGCTTCTACACACGGACGCTTTTGCACACAGAAGATTTTACAATGCTTTTACACAAAGAAACACTTACGCGCAGAAGCCCTTACACTGAGAAACCTTTACACAGAGAAGCTTTGTACAGACAGTAGCTTTTACGCTGAAATTCAAAAAAGATCCTTACACAGAGAAATCAGAGAAGCCATTCCACAGAGGAGCTTTTACGCGCAAAAGCTATCAAACAGAGAATCTTTTACACACAGACGCTTTCATGCATACAAATTGTAACACAACGAAGTTCTTACTCACTGACGCTTTTTCACGCAAACGCTTTTACACAGAGTTTTACACGCAAATGCTTTTACACGCAGATGCCTCTACACAATCTCACCCTGCAAGAGCCCGAGGCCACCAGGCCCCTGACCTGGCACCCATCCAAACCCCCGTGTCTCTTAGGACAGATCACGTATGCAATGTCAGATCATCCGATGCACTTGTGTGCATCTTCCCTATATCCCACCTGCAGCCAAAGACTCCTCCCATCAATTACCGCGCGGCGAAGGCGAAGTCATGTCCACACCTGAGATAGCACCTGCCAAACCCTGCACCTGACCTTCCGTTTTTATTCGCTCCACTTTCTGTCACAAGTCTGCGTGGCTTTTACCTTGCAATCTTTGTTGGCTTCTGTTCCTTTGTGTTCCAAGCCTCTGCTTTCTGTGGCTTCGACTTGGTATGCAAACTGCAAGCCATATTTTGTTGCTTGCAATGCATATTACTTTCTTTTTGCTTGCTGCGGCAATGTTTCGGTTTCAATGTTCCCGCAATGTTCTCCAATAACAAATTTTTACTTTTTTTGTGGCAAATTCGGAATCAAAAGAAGAGCCGACACCCAAAAAAAACAAACAAGCATTGAAAAACACTGCGTTTTATTTTTAAGGCGACACCTGTGCCCAAAAAAGTATCCATCGGACACTTTTTCATAAAAATAGGCTACAAATACTTTGCTAAGGACTACCTTGCTAAACTTGCTAAACCCGGGGTTCATCTAAGTTCGGCCATCATTTACATTTAGTGCAAAAGATTGCGTCTGACCTTCGAAAATCGAAATTCTACGTCCTCGGTTTTGGGCGCGCAGCTGCTGCAGCTCTCCAACGGGAAGCGGGCAACAGGAAACGGGCCGACGGGCCCACAGGCCCAATACTGAACCCACCATCCAAACAGTGGGTCCGTCGGGCCGTTCTTTATATCAAGACTGCATTCCCTCACTACGCAATTACTCTGATAGGTGGGTTTGTCCCCTGCAATCATTACCTTAATAAGCATAGTCAACACTATCCTCTGGAAGGAACCCTTTGCATGTGTGACTGTTTTGTTGGAAGGAGGCATTGATGTTTTGACTCCTGCTTTTCATGCGGGCCACTCTGTCCAAGCCGGGGGCATGATAGCTTCACCAACGCTTTCTATCATGATACCCTATGAGATCCTATGATGTCTCACGCATAATGCGAGCAAGCAACTTCCTCACAAGTGGGTCAGCCAAAAACCCTGGGCTGACCGCATCCTGTCCGATCATGACGCAAAACCACTTATTACGTCAAATTACGTCCTAAAATCAATCATGTCCTACCCCGCATCACTTCGGAAGAAGAACGGCAGAGATCTCAACCAATGCGCTTTGATCAAATGGCACATCCACAGTCACTGTGCCTCTTGACCGTCCTCAGATGAAGCAGCCAACATGACAACGGATGCAACGAACACGCCACAACTCTTCCATATCAAAATCATGAAACTATTGTAAGAGCTTGGCAGCGGAATATATAGTTTTTTTTTTTTTTTGTGGGGGCTGGTGGCCGGTGGGCCGGCAGTGGCAATGGGGCCGGTCGGTCCGCTGAGCCGGTGGGCCGGTGCCCCTGGCAGGTGTCGGTTGCCACTGAGCCGCTGATCTTTACGGGAAAATGTAGCTGAGAGAAGAGGTGCTATAGCAAAGACGTCGCTCAGTGAAGAAGTCAGTCTACAAAGAAGTAGCTCACCCATTCATCCATTCATCCACCTATCCATCCATTGCTCCATTGATATCCATGGGTTCATTGGTATTCATTGGCATTCATTCACATAGGATTCGTTGACTCTTCGATAGATAGGCTCTTGCTTCGGCATCGCTTGGGGCGCCCTCTGTAACTACCACTACCGCTAGCACCTAAAACTACTATACGTAATAGTACGTGCTACTTCGTATTGCTACTCGCTGCAGAGTGTTTGCTACGTACTGCAGCGTACTTCCATGTAAAAGGATGTCCTACTACTTACTGCTGCGTGCTAATAGTAGCTGGTAGTTAGTCGTAAGTAGTAAGCAGAAAGTGGTAATTAGCAAGAAGTCAGTAGTAAGTAGTAAGTAGTCAGCAATAAGTAGTATTTAGTAAGTAGTAAGTAGTATGTAGTACGTAGTACCTAGTAAGTAGTAAATAGTAAGCAGTAAGAAGTGAAGTATATAGCCAAAGGAAGTTTAGAAGTCAAACTTCCGACAATATGGACAGATGAAAAGCAGAGATGGGAAGAGTCAGAATAGTCAGAAGAGAAAAGAAGAAAGAATACCAGAACGAGAAAGTCTCCGAAGAAAGAAGATCCAGGTGCGCGAACAGGTAAGAAAGTCGCGAAACACTGTGTTTTTCCAGTGATTTGGGGCTCCGGAGGGTCGAAAAGTAGGCTCGCTAAAGCGGCTGGCGCGGAGCCAGCTGGCCAGATGAGAGATGAAAAAGTTCACGCCGTTGTGGCGCGAAGCACATTTCAAAGTCAAAATGTACAAAGCACTTCATTTTCGGATCACTTTTGGAAGTTGGGATGTCGAAAAAGTGCACGCCGTTGTAGTGCGAAGCACATTTCGAAGTCAAAAGTGCAAAAAACTGCGGGGTACGGAGCACTTTTGGACGTTCAGATGTCGTTTCGCGTGGCAGGCACCAGGGACTGAGCACCTTGTCAAAGGTGAGCGAAACGTGAGGGTTTTGTGGCAATTTCAAAAACGATGGCAGGCGTGGAGCATACGCAGATGATCTGGCCAGATGCATTTCGCTTGGCGGGCGCAGTGCAAGAGACATGTTCATCAGAGCTGTTAGGAGGTCAGGGCGCTGCTTTCCTGGGAGGGTTGCATTTTGGAGCATCAGATCTTGAGGTTTGCTGAGGTGATTTTGCATGACAGGTGCAGCACTTCGTATGATCAGGCATGACTTTTCGTGGCCGGCGCAGCACTTTAGACAGATGGAGTGGAAAAATCGCAAAACGCATTGGTACGAGGCCGTCAGCTCTGCACTCAACTTTCCATTTTTGAAGAAAGTCTCGCAGAATTGTTTCGCTTTTGACGTTGGCAACTTCGAAAAGTGAGGAAGTCTCGCAGAATTGTCCCGTTTTTGATGTTGTCAAGTTCAAAAATTGAGAAAGCCCCGCAGAATAGCTTCGTTTTCAAACTTGCAGATACATAGATAGATAGATGGATAGATAGAGAGATAGAGAGATAGATAGAGAGAGAGAGAGAGATAGATAGATAGATAGATAGATAGATAGATAAGAAAGAAAGAAAGATAGATCGATAGATAAATAGATAGATAGATAGATAGATCGATAGATAGATCGATCGATAGATAGATAGGTAGGTAGGTAGATAGGTAGATAGGTAGATAGGTAGACAGGCAACTACAGCTGCTCAGCTGCAACTTCAACTACAAGTACCACTACACTACACTACTACTACAACTACAAGTAAAAATATATTACGCTACATTGTACAACACTAATTACACTACACTATACTAATTACATCTAATTACATCTAATTACATCAAAATACATCTAATTACATCTAATTGCATCTTATTACATCTATTTACATCTAGTTACATCTAATTACACTACACGAATTACACTACAACTACTACAACAGCAACAACAACAACTACTACTCCTACTCCTACTCCTGCTCCTACCACCGCCACAGCTACAACTACAATTACAGCTACACTACATTACGCTGCAGGCCCGGGGCCTTGATCCATACCTTGCATTTTCTGGGCGGATGGGCGAAAGTGGAGCTGGGTGCTGATAGTGCTGGCGCCGCAAGCACATGTGCTTGGGGCTTCAGGGAGCTCGTCTATGGAACTCCAGCCGCTGCAAAAGAAAAAACATTGAAGCAAGAATCTGTGACATGGCAAAAGAAACTACTCCCTGATTTCCGCTTGGTTTGACCGCTACATGCTTTGGTACGTGTGTGTGGGGGCAAGCTTGTGTAGATCATCGTTAAATGGCTGGTAGCGCCTGTAAGCAAAACAGCCGCAGCAAAATCCAGCAGATTCAAATAAACATTCCAAGCTTAGTCCAGGCACGCGGGAGAATGATTTTGAAGGGCCTTGCTTCTTTCTTGATGCTGATTTGCTGCTGGGACTTGGACCTTGCCACGATGCCAATGGCCGGCAGGATGAACATGTTTTTGACAGCCCGTCTTAAAAGCACGCAGGTGCTGCATTGTGATGCACTGTGCGTATGAATTTTGGCATCATCATGTTCTGGCTCTTGGAGCTCCAGGGCTAGTCGGCACAGCACACATGAAGAAAGAAGTCCGAAGACGTGCTAGCAACTAGCATTCACCTGCCTTTGCGATTGACAACCCTGGCATTATGTGTCTGAAGCTTCAGTAACTGGCTACCTTGATGACCCTTGTTGACCCATTCATGCTTGCTGATGTATCTTGATGATGTCCGAGTTGTCCGTTGAATGCTGCTGTCGCGGCCTTTGGCCCGTCTTGAGTCCTGGCAAAGCAGCACAAGTGACTGCGTACTGCAACTCAACGTTCAACATTGCAACTCGCATTTGTACTGTGAGTTCTGCACCGCGAGCAAAGAAACAAACTCGCGCGCACACACACACATCAGCGAAATGCTTCCAATGCATGCCTTTGAAAAAAGTATAGGAGGCGCTTTCCTTGGATGGATTTCAGAAAGCAAATGTGGAGACCATCAAGACCAACACCCTAAACTAAAGAGGTATGACGGTATGACGTGACCATTCAACAACATGCTGGCGTGTCCCCTACATGGCCCCCTTATCTTCCCTCCTGGTTCACTTCCGCAAGGTGCATCGTCAAACAGAATGTGCGGAAAACACTGCATCGTCTGTACGGACAGCTCAAAGTCAAACACAGCCCTGGTATGTTCTGCGTCTTTGAGCCAAGATGCATGGTCATGCTCAGACGAACTGCTTCGCGGCCTGGGATGCCTTAGCATTGACGGGGCGAAAGCAAGGCTTCTAATGAGGGGAGTTGAATGCTGTGATGCCGATAGATTTGCTGCATGAGCGCTTTTGAGGTCTAAGGCATCAGCGAAGCCCTGCCTTGCAAGCGCATTTGTGAAGCTCTATGTATTGTAAACTGATGAGAGACGTGATCCGGAGAGGGGTCTGCAGAGTTGGTTTCGACCAGCGAAACCTGAAACCCGAAACCCGAAACCGACTCTGAAGACTTAACTTCCCCAGGACCGTTCGAAACCCGAAACCCGAAACCCGAAACCGACTCTGAAGACTTATACCTTCCCCAGGACCGATCGAAACCCGAAACCCGAAACCCGAAACCGACTGTTAAAGTTGGTTTCGAACCGCGAAACCGGAAACCCGAAACCGACTGTTAAAGTTGGTTTCGAACTGCGAAACCCGAAACCCGAAACCGACTCTGAAGACTTAACTTCCCCAGGACCGATCTTATCTAATCTAGATCTAACCTAATCTAATCTAATCTGTCTATCTAATCTATCTAATCTAATCTGATCTGATCTAATCATCTATCTAATCTAATCTATCTAATCTAATCTAATCTAATCTATTCTATCTAATCTAATCTAGCCTATATCTAATCTAATCCAATCTACCGAATCTAATCTAATCTAACCTAATCTATTCTATCTAATCTAATCTACCTAATCTAATCTAATCCAATCTACCTAATCTAATCTAATCTACCTAATCTAATCTAATCTATCTATCTAACTGATCTGATTCTAATCTAATTTAATCTACCTAATCTAATCTAATCTAATCAAATCTAATTCAAATCTAATCTCATCTGTATAGTCTAACCTAATCTCATCTACCTAACCTGCTCTAATTCTAATCTAGTCTAATCTATCTAATCGAACCTAATCTAATATTTCCAATCTAATCTAATCTAATCCAATTCTAATCTAATCTAATCTACCTAATCTAATTTATTTCTAATCTAGTCTATCTAATCTAATCTAATCTACCTAGTCTAATCTAATCTAATCTACCTAATCTAATCCAATTCTAATCTAATCTACCTAATCTAATCTAATCTAATCTACCTAATCAAATCAGATTCTAATCTAACCAAAACTAATCTAATCTAATCAATCTAACCTAATCTATCTAATCTAATCTAATCTACCTATTCTATTATAATTCTAATTCCAATCTAATCTAATCTAATCTACCTAATCCAATCTAATCTAACTTAATCTAATATTTCTAATCTAATCTAATCTAATGATATCATGGCATATCATATCATATCTATCCAACTAATCTAATCTAATCTATCTAATCTAATCTAATTTAATCTACCTAAATTAATCCAATCTAATCAAATATATAATTCTAATCTCATCTCATCTATATAGTCTAACCTAATCTAATCTACCTAACCTACTCTAATTCTAATCTAGTATAATCTATCTAATCTAATCTAATCTACCTAGTCTAATCTAATCTAATCTACCTAATCTAATCCAATTCTAATCTAACCTAATCCATTTCTAATCTAATCTATCTAATCTATCTAATCTAATCTAATCTACCTAATCTAATCTAATCTACCTAATCTAATCTAATCTAATCTACCTAATCTAATCCAATTCTAATCTAATCTACCTGGTCTAATCTAATCTAATCTAATCTACCTAATCTAATCTAATCCAATTTACTTCGTGACAGCTACTTACAGATGCTGGCAGGTTTCCCCCAAACCGTTGCCGTTTTTCCTCTCTGACCTTTTCAGGCGCTTGTCACTACCCTCGTCTGTTGCCGGGGGGGGGGTGAGGCACCTAAAAAAATAAAATAAAATGCAGGGGCCTAAGGAGAAAATGCCAATAAAATGAGAGGGCATAAGTTAAGATAGGAAAACCCAAGCAAAATACAATGGACAGGTACAAAAAGAAAATGACGTCGGCACCCTCCGCCTGGCCACTGGTGGACCTACGTTATGCAACTGTTGGACCTCGGGCTCCGGCATTTTCTTTTGGGTTGATCTTGTTTTGTCTTGTTTCCTTCTTTGATTGGTTTTAACCATGTTTAGTCTTGTTTAGTCTTGTTTAGTCTTGTTTAGTCCTTTACATTGTTTCCTTCTTTGATTGGTTTTAACCATGTTTAGTCTTGTTTAGTCTTGTTTAGTCTTGTTTAGTCCTTTACATTGTTTCCTTATTTGATTGGTTTTAACCATGTTTAGTCTTGTTTAGTCTTGTTTAGTCCTTTACATTGTTTCCTTATTTGATTGGTTTTAACCATGTTTAGTCTTGTTTAATCTTGTTTAGGAAGGCAATAGAAAATGAGGGGGGCCAACCCATTTTCGAAGTTAATGTCCAAATAATGGAAAAGGAAACGAAAAAGGAAAGGAAAAAGGAAAGGAAAAAGGAGAGGAAAAAGGAAAGGAGAAGGAAAAGGAAGAGACAGGAAAAAGGAAAGGGAAGGGAGAGGAAAGGGGAAAAAAAACAGTGTCTCACACGAACCATTTTTGATGCCAAAAGTTATCGTTTTCGTTATCATTTTATTAGCGTTCGTGAATCCGCTGGAACGTTTCACAAAATGATCAGGCCGTTCACAGTTGTGCATCTTTGCTATGATGCTATCTCTGTCGGTTAACTTGATGAGTTAGGCACCTCAAAAAATAAAATGCACCCACAAAATAAAATGCAGGGGTCTGACCCATTTTATTTTTATTTTTTTTATTTTAAAAGGGGCTTCAGCCCCCCCATTCTATTTAGGTACCCCGGACGGGGGTTGTCACTCACCGCTCTTTTTTTTTGACGACTGCATGGAGAACGACACTTGGGTGATGTGAGATCGGCATCGTACTGGTGAATCTAAAGGTGGTTTCGACCTACGAAACCCGAAACCCGAAACCCGAAACGGACAGCTAAAGTTAGCTTCAATCGACGAAACCCGAAACCCGAAACCCGAAACCCGAAACCGACAGCGAAAGTTGGTTTCAAGCGACGAAACCCGAAACCCGAAACCGACAGCAAAATTGGGTTTCAATCGACGAAACCCGAAACCCGAAACCCGAAACCGACAGCGAAAGTTGGTTTCAAGCGACGAAACCCGAAACCCGAAACCCGAAACCGACAGCGAAAGTGGGTTTCAATCGACGAAACCCGAAACCCGAAATCCGAAACCGGCAGCGAAAGTTGGTTTCAATCGACGAAACCCGAAACCCGAAACCGACAGCGAAAGTTGGTTTCAAGCGACGAAACCCGAAACCCGAAACCGGAAACCCGAAACCGACTCGAATCCGACTTTTGGGTGGCTCTCCGGATCGGAACTCACTGATGAAGGCCGTTCAGGAAGATGTGCATACTGACAATTTTTGCAGTCTGCAAGAAGTGAAGAAGCCACTCCATCTAATCTCACCATTCTCCAGCCTCAGCTTTTCATAGCTTTTCTTCGTTTCTGATTTCTTCGGCCGCCCCTTTTCTCGAGGCCACACAAAGTAAAGCGCGCCTGCTTTTGTTTCACAGTGGCGGCCGCAAAGGACTGGATAAAGTGCCTGCAGCTAGGATCAAATGGCAAGGTCTCTTGTGCTTCTTAGATCTTCTTAGGATCTGTGGCAATTGACTTTTTGTCTATTGCCTTGGTCTCGGGGTTGCATCGGCCAACATTTCATTCAAGGAAGCCAGAAGCAGTGAAATCAAAATGTGCTACAATGCTGTTTGAACTAGAGGACCGAAGGCTTAGGGCTGGATGTGAACCATTTGGAAACGCTTTGGTGTAAGCGACAGGATGCAACAGGACAAAGTCGAAAGCAAATTGGGCCCGCGGCTCCACGGTTTCGAAATCTCTCTGCAACAACTCCTGCAAAGCGCGGCTCAGACAAATCAATTGGAGCGACGCGTTCTGCAGTATTGAACCGGTATGCTTCAGCATCCTTTCGTTGCTTAATGGTTTCTTTCCCTCTCCTAGTTATGCCACATGCACATGTTCACTCGCATTTCGCCGGCGTGTTCATCGGGCCCTGCAACGCAAATTCCTGGCCTCATCACTGCTGTCATCAGTGAGCTCGGCTGGGCCTTCAAGGCCCAAAGCCACGTCAGCTTCCACAGGTGTGATGGTTGCCAAACCTACCATGCTTTGTTTGCTGCAACGGGCCCAGGATCATGCAATCCTAGCTCCCAACGAACCAGGTATCGAAATGTTTTCTCCTAAAGTATGCATAGTGTGAACTGACAGCCAGCTAGACGATGGACAGGTGGCCCGGATAGCGAACAGGGAAGTAACCTAGGAAAGGAATAAAGAGAGAGAGAGAGATAGATATAACTATAGCGGTATATTATCATACAGGAGCAACTGGGATCAATGCGCCCCCTGAGTTGATATATCAAAATATTTCTAGAGCATCTCTACATGGATAATATAAATAAAATAATATATACTAATAATAGTAAATATATAATATGATCTATATCTATATATATATATACAAAAAAAAAGGACCGGATAACCCCACAAATCAACTTCTTCCAATGATCACCAAGCAGATGTGAAAATGAGATGGGAAAGGCAGGAAGGAAAGGAGATGGTGCAAGACAGGTTGGGTGAAAGAGCTGTGTGCGACAGTGTTGTGTGTGTAAGTTTATGTATGTAAAAGTGTTGTGTGTGAAAGAGTTGTATGTGACAAAGTTGAGTAAGTCAAGTGTGAGTAAGTGGTGTGTGGACAAGTTGTGTGTGAGCAAGTTGTGTGTGGACAAGTTGTGTGTGAGCAAGTTGTGTGTGAGCAAGTTGTGTGGTGACAAGTTGTGTGTGGAGAAGTTGTGTGTGAGTAAGTTGTGTGGTGACAAGTTGTGTGTGGAGAAGTTGTGTGCGAGTAAGTTGTGTGTGGTGACAAGTTGTGTGTGAGTAAGTTGTGTGTGAGGAAGTTGTGTGGTGACAAGTTGTGTGTGGAGAAGTTGTGTGGGAGTAAGTTGTGTGTGGAGAAGTTGCGTGGTGACAAGTTGTGTGTGGACAAGTTGTGTGTGGAGAAGTTGTGTGTGAGTAAGTTGTGTGTGGACAAGTTGTGTGGTGACAAGTTGTGTGTGAGCAAGTTGTGTGTGAGTAAGTTGTGTGTGGACAAGTTGTGTGTGAGCAAGTTGTGTGTGGACAAGTTTTGTGTGGACAAGTTGTGTGTGAGCAAGTTGTGTGGTGACAAGTTGTGTGTGGACAAGTTGTTAGTGAGTAAGTTGTGTGTGAATAAGTTGCGCGCCACCAGATGCCATACGTGCCACACCTGCCACGCAAAGTGAAGGTCCATGTCGCCAAGTGCCACGCCTGCCACGCAAAGAGCCGCGGCGTCCACGGCGTCAACTGGGAACCAAGCGCGCCACCAGAGCCAGCCCAGTGCCATAAGTGCCACGCCTGCCAGGCAAAGTGAAGGTTGATGTCGCCAAGTGCCACGCCTGCCACACAAAAAGCCGCGGCGTCCACGGCGTCAACTGGGACCCAAGCGCGCCACCAGAGCCAGCCCAGTGCCATAAGTGCCACGCCTGCCACGCAAAGTGACGATCCATATCACCAAGTGGCACGCCTGCCACGCAAAGTGAAGGTTGATGTCGCCAAGCGCCACGCCTGCCACGCCAAAAGCCGCGGCGTCCACGGCGTCAACTGGGACCCAAGCGCGCCACCAGAGCCAGCCCAGTGCCATAAGTGCCACGCCTGCCACGCAAAGTGCACGTCCATGTCACCAAGTGCCACGCCTGCCACGCAAAAAGCCGCGGCGTCCACGGCGTCAACTGGGACCCAAGCACACCAGAGCCAGCCCAGTGCGATAAGTGCCACGCCTGCTACGCAAAGTGCACGTCCATGTCACCATGTGCCACGCCTGCCACGCAAAGTGAAGGTTGATGTCGCCAAGTGCCACGCCTGCCACGCAAAAATGCCGCGGCGTCCACGGCGTCAACTGGGACCCAAGCGCGCCACCAGAGCCAGCCCAGTGCCATAAGTGCCACGCCTGCCACGCAAATGTGACGTCCATATCACCAAGTGGCACGCCTGCCAACGCAAGTGAAGGTTGATGTCGCCAAGCGCCACGCCTGCCACACAAAAAGCCCCGCGGCGTCCACGGCGTCAACTGGGACCCAAGCGCGCCACCAGAGCCAGCCCAGTGCCATAAGTGCCACGCCTGCAGCAGGTTGTCATGTCCTTTTGCGTGGCAGGCGTGGCACTTTGTGACATTCCAAGCTGTTTGATAATGTGTCAAAAAATGTCAAAATTGGAGGAAGTCTCGTACGAAATGCTGGTTTTTCTGCATCCACGTGTCTTGTCGCGAGTCTCTCGTTTTCCTGTGGCGTCGCCGTGTCTATGGGGGAAGCTGGAAAACATGTCCTCTTCGAATGTTTCCAAGCAGGTTGTCATGTCGTTTTGCGTGGCAGGCGACATTCCAACCTGTTTGAATCCCCCCCCCTTTAAGGGGGGGGTGGGGGGGGGTAAAAACTGAAATATTTCACTTTAGGGGGGGGTCTCCCCCCCCCACACACCTAGAAATATTTCACCTCCCTAAAGTGAAATATTTCAGCTAAAAAAATCTGGTCTATAATGGCTTTGGGCGTGGTTGAATTCAAGGCTGAACGTCATGTTCTGAAGGCTGTTTGGCAAGTTCACTCTCTTATTTACTTTCTTGGAAACCGGCAGTTACCATTTACCTAGTTGTCAGTGTTTGCGCGTGGGCCCTACCCGCGTAAGGACTAAAAAGGTCCAAAAAGGAACAGCGTCCGGAGGAACCCCCCCCCCCCACGTCTTTTAGAAGCCCAAAAAAATACGTGGGGGGGGGTATATTTCACGTGGTCAGGTGAAAATGTCAAAATTGGAGGAAATCTCGTACGAAATGCTCGTTTTTTTGCACCCACGTGTCTCGTCTCGTGTCGCTCGTTTTCCTGTGCCGTCGCCGTGTCTATGGGGGAAGCTCCGCACTCCACACTCTACACTTTACACTCCACACTTTACAATTTGCACTTTACACTCCTCACTCCTCACCTGAGACTTTACACTCCACACTCCACACTTTACACTGCACTCTACACTTTCCACTCCTCACTCCTCACTCTACACTTTACACTCCTCACTCCTCACTCTACACTTTACACTCCACACTCTACACTTTACACTCCACACTCTACACTTTACACTCCACACTCCACACTTTACACTACACACTCCTCACTTTACACTCCACACTTCACACTCCACACTTTACACTCCACACTTTACACTCCTCACTCCACACTTTACAATCGTCACTTTACACTCTACACTCCACACTCTACACTTTATACTCTACACTTTACACTCTACACTCCACACTTTACACTCTACACTCCACACTTTACATTTTACACTCCACACTCCACTCTACACACCACACTCTACACTTTCCACTCCACATTTCGCACTCCACACTTTACACTCCTCACTCCACACTCCACACTTTACACTCCACACTCTACACTCCCCACTTTACACTCCACACTCCACACTCTACACTTTCCACTCCGCACTCCGCACTCCACATTCCACCCTTTACTGTACACTCCACACTCCACACTTTATAGTTTACACTCCTCACTCCACACTCCACACTTTACACTCCTCACTTTACACTCCTCACTCCACACTCCGCACTTTACACTCCACACTTCACACTCCACACTTTCCACTCCACACTCCACACTTTACACTCCACACTCCACACTTTACACTCCTCACTCCACACTTTACACTTCACACTTTACACTCCACACTCTACACTTTACACTCCACACTTTACACCCCACACTCCACACTCTACACTTTGCACTCTACACTATACACTCTACACTCCACACTTTACACTTTACACTCCACGCTTTCCACTTTACTCTCCTCACTCCACACTTTGCACTCCACACTCCACACTCTACAGTTTACACTCCATACTCCACACTCTACACTTTACACTCCGCATTCTACACTTTACACACTCTACACTCCCCACTCCACACTTTACACTCCACACTCCTTACTTCACACTCCACACTCCACACTGCAGACCGGTAACAAGGGAAACATGTACAAGACTGTTCAAATAAACTATTGCAGAAAGGTATTTTGCGTGACTGCATAACCATGTGTTTTGACATCTGTACCATTAACATACGTGTGAGCATTCGGGTTCGTGGGCTTCATCTTGTTGTTTTATTGTTTGGTGTTTTTCGGTTTTGGGTCCCGAAGAAATGTTTCCTATAATTCATTATAATTCCTTTATTTTGAATGCCGAGCGCGCAGCTGTTTCTACCGTCGGGTACCAGAAAGCTTCAAGTCCAGACCCCATATTTCACTTCGTGAGGAATAGAAACGGCAGAAACATGCAGAAACCCCAGCCTGGCCGACTTTCAAAAGTACCGGTTTCTCAGAACGTCCTCGTTAAGATTCCCATGCTTGTAGCGCAAGTTGTATGCTGAATTCGTTCAAACACGTTGCCTTCCTTGAGAACTATTCTTCAAACAAAGGGGGCTGTACACACACACACACTTACTTATTCAGACAATGCACCTTCTAGATTCTATCTTGTTTACTTTCTGTCGAAGTGAGGTCACTTCACAAAAGTTGCAGCAATCGTAGTAAATCGGAGTTCTGCCAACCCTAATGTGCGCAATCTAGCTGTATCCTGGTGTGACGCAGACACATATACACTCATTGAAATTTGGTAAAGAACCGCTTGTTGTTAAGAAAGGCCAACGACCAATACAATACTGTACCTGTCCAAATTTGCAGGCGCAAGTATGATTCCAAGCAATTCCCCCCCCCGGCATTTTTGCAGGCGACGAACATTTGCATCAAAGTTTCCCGAAATTTGACCCGCATGTGCACAACACACGTTTGCTCCAAGTGGTTTCCACAGAGGTATCTTGTCGAAGAAACAAAACCGCAATGTCCGCGTCGCTATATTTGATGGTGAACCAATGACGGAAGAATGGGTGTGAGTTCGGCCATGCCCAAATAAAGGCAAAAATGACACAACCTTACACAATTGGGTGGAGCTCTTTATTTGGTGTCACTTCCTTTTCGCGCAAAACATGAAGACACAACAAAACACACTGAATCAAATAAACTTAGCAAAACTGGCAAGGAAAAACAACAATGCTTTCCGACCTGTGCATCCATGCTAAAATAAAAGGAGCAAATAACCCGACATGTTAGGCTTTCCGGCTGCTATCGAGAGGCGGTGGCAAGCCAGGATGAAGGCAGCGAATGATTGGATCGAAGGAATGAAAGATCGAGATCTCGCTATCGAAAATTAGACAGATATGAAGACAGAGGAAAAAGACACAGATAGATACGTCAAGCGATAGAAATATAGATAGATCGATAGAACGACAAACAAAGAGATTGAAAGGTAGATAGATATAGATATAGGTACAAATATGGAAATGAATATAATATAGAAATGGGCAAAAATAATTGTGGATATATAAATACCGAGTTTGTTTGAGATATAGATATAGATTTGATTAAAAAAGAAACGGATACACATATAAACATGAAAAAACATACAGATATAATGTATACATAGACATATAGGTATGGATATAGATAGATAGAAAGATGGCTAGGTAGACAGATAGATCGATAGAGAGGTCGATCGATAGATTGGTCGATAAACAGACAGAAAACAGATAAACAGACAGACGCAAAAAAAACACAAGTAGACGCATAGATAGACCGATAGATGCATAGGTACGGTAGGTAGATCGATAGGTAGATAGATGGATGGCTAGGAGGGAAGGTTGGTTGGTCGATAGATAGGTAGATAAATAGATAGAATGGTATATAGGAAAATAAATCTAGGGATAGAAAAGCAAACAGGTCTGTAGATACGTGAATAAATCGACGGATTGATAGATACGAGTAGATATATAGATACAGATAAATAGACAGAACAGAACGATAGAAAGATACATGCACAAATGGAAAGATAGATAAACAAATAGATAGATAGGTAGATATTTAGATAGATAGGTTAGATAAGATTGGATTAGATTATACAGATTAGATTAGATAAATAGATAGCTAGACAAACATATAGACAAAGAAGCGTTACGCAAGGACTGTTCAAAATGCTTCAGATTTGCGCCTGCGACGTAAAAGAACTGCGGGGACCACAAGCGGCCAGGCGCGCGGAAACCACAGCAAGCCAGTCTAGAGAGGCGCTTACCCATAGCCTAGACTGAGTTGAGAAGAGAAGTTGATAAAGAGAAATGAATATTTAAACTCATTAGAAGAGATGCGTTGATAGAGGGTGAGAGGAGGAGGGAGGAGGCGGCGGGATGCAGCACAAAAAAGAACGGTCCAGTAGTGCGTCACGACGCTCTTCAATTGCAGCCAAGTGACGTCATGGTGTTGTTTCTATGGTTTTTGCGGTGTTGTGTATGCTTTTTATATGACGCTGTCATGGTATTCCAATTTTGTTGAAGAATTGAAAAAAATCACTGGCACCACAGTTTCGTTCATGTCGAACGGGGCTACAGGGAAATACTTGTTTTTTCATGTCCATTTGTGCTTTCGCTACAGCGAAATGCCAATTTTGCATCAAAAAACTTTTTTTTTGGTGCCCGGGCTCTTAAAAGGTGAGTTGAGTGATGTTGAATGGGGCTACAGTGCAACGGCGGGTTTGACATCAATCAGGTACTTATTGTTGATCCCGTTTTATTGATAGGTGATCTCAGTGAAGCTGAAGCGTTTTTTTTTCTGGCCTTTAAGGTCACTCGAACAGCCAAGAGCTGTTTTGGTCGAGAACGAGGAACTCCTTTGGTTCGTGTCCCATTGCATTTTTGAACCTTTCTCGAACTTGTCACAGTAGCAACAAGAGCATGTTCAAAGAGTGCAAAATAAAGAATCGACAGCCAAGAAACGAAGGCGACAGAACATTATTAGCCCTTCCCCCACCCCCACCCCTCTCCACTCAAACCCTGCCGCGTGACGGGCGTGGAGAAATATGCACATAAATGCGAAAAACAAGAACCCTACACAGTGATGTGGACCCTCATGTTCACGAACGGACCCCACAGCTATTCAGTCGAAGATTTTGGAGGGTGTTGAGGTGTTCACCGATGGTGTCCAATCAAAAACTGTCTTCAACAGTTTCATTCGCACTACCTCAATATTCATTGGCGTATGGCTCTATCTTCACTGTTTTGGCAACCCCATTCGCCTGGACTCAATGAAAAAAATACTTTGCAGTTGCGTTTCGCAACACTTTGTTTGAGGGCCCTCCGGTACTCCAACATGGCAACGGAAACTCCGCAAATTCACACATGACTTTTCCATCTACGTTTTTGGATGGTTTAGGCATGCAAGTTGAGGGGTCCTGTGCTGTTGCAGTGAAAAAATCACCGAATTTGTTCATTCATGACTTGATGCATGCTGAAATTCATGCTGATATAGGAATGTGTCTTTCTGCCTTTTTGACGTAGCTGATGATGAGCGTCATCTTTGAAAGTCGGTGAACCCGTACAGAACAGGTGTGGGAGAATTATGAAAGAACAAGGCGTATATACAAAAATATGAGGAAGGTTGCAGACATGCGTAATACCAAATTGATGTAGATGTGCCGCATGCCTGTGCAAGACATGAAAACCTTGAAATGCGGAGTATGTCATGTCAACTAAAGAAAACCCTTTTGCAATGTTCATGGGGGAAATTGTAGGCGCAAATCTGCGGATTGCATGACATAAAGAGTAGATGTGCACATGAATCAAAAAAATCGCGCGCGCATATGATATTCTTATCCAATTTGACTCTCCTTGGCAAACTTGCAATATAGTCAAGCTATGCCACTGTTCCATACGATCCTGCTGCGTCTGCCGTGACCGTGGTTCAAGGATTTTGTAGAGGTTCAGCTGAGCAACCAGTTCGGCGCAACAAATGCCGCCCATCAAGCTCATTGAGCTCCTTCGGGCACGCTGAAAAGGTGGCAGCCAGATATTCCGACATGTGCCAACCGCTAGGAAGAGCACCTCTCAAAAACTTCGTCTCCTGATCGCCTCCTTCTTGCATGCTTTTCCGACGAATCCAGTCTTCTGCCCACTGATTGCTCTTCTCAAGCTCCTGCATCAAAATTTCAGAGCTGATGGCTCAAGATCGATCAAGCATGACGCAAAGTAGTCTTGAACACAGACAACCTGGCAATCTCCATGTCCATTTTCAACAGCAGCGACCTAAAGCCACAATGCATAATATATATATATATACTGTATATAGTAATATAATATAATCTATAATATATATATATAATATATATAATATATATATATATATATTTGTACTTTGAGGGCACACACTGTAGAAAGTTGGAAAATGAGCATATATAAAGGACTCGTTGCCAGGACCGGGTCTGGTGTGAAAACTCACTCCGCGAGCCAAACGCAAAGCACGGAGACAACATGAACTACAAATAAGCCCAGTCCTTGGGGTTGAGGTCTGTAAGGCCCAATTTTGTACCATTTCGTATAGGTGCGGGCGGCATAGGCCCAAGGCGGTCTAAAAAACAGGTAGCAGATTTTGCAGCAGACCATATAGGTACGGACCAAATAGGCCCATTAGAATTGGCCTAACATTTTTCGTGCCAACTCGCATAATTCGTATAGGTACGGAGAAAACAGGCCCAGTACATTCTAAAATAGGCTCAACGGGTTTGGACGCAAATCGTATAGGGAGGGGCAAAATAGGCCCAAAATGGCACGAGGAAATGTATACCAAATGAAAAGAAGAAATAGGCATAGGATTTCATTTTCACAATTATTGAAAATTTCCTTGGGCCTATTTTAGAATGTCTTGGGCCTTGGGCCTTTTCTATCCGTACCTATGGGATTTTCCCCAAAGATCATTGGGCATATTTTACAAAGCATTGGACTTATCTTTCTTTGATTTGGGCCTATGCGAAACGCTTTCTGGTTGAAATGCCTGGGGCGTACTTTGCTCGTGCCAATTCTTACCGTGACTTGCAGGTTTTTTAGTGTCAAAGTTGCGGGAGCTACCCTGCCTTATAGGTTGTTCCTGCGTAGCAAGTTCAAAACAATTTAACATTGGGAATTTTTGGGTGGTCACTGGCTGCCGCAGCTCATCAACTTTGATGGTGAGGGTGCAGGGAGTCAGTCGCAGTTCTAGCTCCTTCAACACTTTCTGTCTGTGTGTCTTGGGTCCCTAAAAGTGGAGCCTTGTAAAAGACCTATTTCAGCCTTTTTTGTGGCATCCCCCAATGTGAAACCAGCATTGTGAAACCAGCATCTGGCAACCAAGCGCAAAAAAAACAATTGCGACCCCATTTTTGGGCCCCCATTTTTTGGGAAAACAAACAGGAGCTGCTCAATACGGGCAGCAAGGACATATACGCTGGTATATGTGCTTCCGCCAATGCGAGCTGGGAGCCGCGCATGTCCATGATACTGTATATGAAAGCCACGATCTATCAGGGTATATTCGTCATTGTTGGTGATGTCGGGCTGGTTCCGCCAGAGAAACCCTGTCAAAGCCCTGCCACTGCTGTGTTTGCAGAGTCTGACTTTCAAGTCGCGATATTCGTAACTGACTGTGCTGCACCTCAATGTGGTAATCAATGGCCTAAGCCTGCGTTTTCCGTGGCAGGTGCGGTACTGTAGATATCGGTATATATTTATATATATATATATATATATATACACAATATATTCCATGTGGGCGCTTTTTGTGAATCGCATTCGGACTGTCGCGGGAAGGGGTCAAGGAATGCAACTGCGCGGAGTGTTCCATGAAATGGTGGAACATTTGGAAACATTGCGTCACAGAAGTGGCATCGCCTATTCTCAACCGCATGCTTGCACTGGGGCCATTACTTGCCACTATGATAAGTCTTTCAACCAAAGACAGCAACCATGCTACTGTAGCCTTCAGATGCCTTCAAGCCAAAATGATGTTGGAAGATAAGCTGCAAGGCAAGCGCCTGAGTTTCTCGGGTAGAATGTTGCTGGGAGACAACCCGCGCAGCACGCACAGGGCACCATGATGGGGGAAGACTCTCTGGGACAAAGGGCGAGAACCATTTTGGATCAAAACCCAAGAGGCGCGAGATCAAAATTCATCATGTCTGAACGCATCTGAATCATTCTGGAACACATCCGACGTATCAGCTCCCTGCCAGCAGAGCGTGAAATGTTGCATGTCAGTACACTGGGCAATTTGGGGAAAGTCCAGCAGTTTAGGGAAGGTATTGGCAGCATGTGGCGTCACGATGCTTGGGAAAGTATAAGGAACCGGGTATACCTCCAAGAACAAGACAGCCCCTGCCCACAAGATTCATCACGCCATTGCCACCATTGCCACCATTGCCATCACTTCTCAGCTCATGCTTCCATCTCCTCTTCGCCAAGAGAGGCCTGCACCTGATTTCTTAGAGCCTGAGAGCTGCATCGTGCTGCATCTGAATGCCAGGCACAGAAGGGCAGGTGCATGGGACATATCAGGAGCTGCTAGCCTCAACAGGTGCTCCAGATCAGTCAATAACGAATATTTGCAACCGTGCCTTTGTCTCCAAGAGGTCTGTCATGACGTTCAGCCTCCGTTGGACGTGGGTCATGGCCTTGGCACCGGGTTTGCAAACAGCTCAGCCATGTTCCTTTCACGTTGCCATTGCGGCCACCGCTGTCTGGCATCAAGCTGTTCGCCTGCATCCAATAGTAGCAATCTTGAAGCCTGAGAATGTCTACGCTCGTCCTCACTCGTTGCTTTTGTAACCATTTCCATTTCCCAATTCTTGGAGATCCTTCTGCTGTCCTTGTCTTCTTCATCTTCTTCTACCCGACCAATTAATGGGTTAAACACCGCATGCTTAAATCGCTCAAGCTGTGTCAACACAGAATGAAAACATATACGATTCGATGCGGTTGTGCTTTGGTGGCTCAGTACTTGGCTCGTTCATTCGCCTCATTCGCAGACTCTGCCTGCGGGACTTCGTTTTACTCTTTTGCCGTGCCACTGCACATCTGACCCCTGAACGGCTAGAACGCATTGGATCAAAGACCCCAACTGATGCAACCGCGCAATTCTCTGACATTTTGGGACAATCACAAACATAGTACTTACTTGCTGCATGTTGGGGAAGGTTTTGAGGTTGCATGTACGGCATACTTGCATTTAACTCATGCAATTCTGGTTGGTTCATTTTCTTCCCCTGCTATCATCGGCGCAGGAGAGAAGAAGAGAACCCTGGCTGAATGCAGCCAAGTTTCTGCAGATTCTGTCCTCACTATTGGCAGCCAAAAGTGCATGGCAATGCTTTCGTAATCTTTGCCCATTGTTGAGCCCCAAATAGATATCCACATTTCCAATAACTTAGAAAAACCTAGAATACTCCTTTTGTGTAGCCTTCTGTGTATATGCCTTTGCGGCTTAATCCTCTTGCAGGTTGTTGGCTGCAATATTCGGCACGCTTGTCACATTGAGTTCATACAAATAGGGACGGTCATGGCTTCGTAGTCTCAACGTATGAACGGTGTCAGCTGTGTGCTGGCTTCACAGGGAATCCCGCATCCCTAACATTAAATACCCGCAAAACCTTGGTTGAATATGGGATCTAAGGTTTTGCAGCCGATAAGGGGCCGATTGGAATTTGATTCTAGGGTCCATGGTGATTTAGTTCTACCCCTGATTGTGTGATACATGTTTTCCAACATTTACTTTTTTATCTATCTTATCTATCAAGGTAGGTGGCCTTGGTATATCCGAGTGAAATTCATCCCGAAAGCAAAATCGTATCGGGTTCGTGTCCCTTGGATGTTTCAATGTTATTAATTCTTATCCGCCATTCGGTAATCATGCCAAGAAGGGGATTGATAATTTGCCTTTCCATCCATTTACCTTCTACTCGTGGAAGTACCAGTCAGAACAAACGATCACCAATTCGATCGTAGTTCAGATATGTTTTTGCTTGGTTGAGTACTTAGATAAAATATAAAATGTTGGTATGCGACGGATTTGCGATGGCGATGGATTTGGGGTCCCCCGAGCCAAACGATCGGCAATTTCTTTTTGCCCAAATCTCAAAATAAAGGGCCCTGAATCCATTGCGGGAAAAATCATGGTAGAATATAATAGCAAGGCTGCTTCCTAAGTCCACATGCAAATTTCTGCACCCTGGTATCGACAAAAAAAATATTTTTTTCCTAAATCCCAGGGTACAACCTTTGTATTGCCGAAGTCTAGGTGCAGAAATCTGCGCCTTGACTTAGGCAATACCCCGTCAAGCACCTAGGATATCGTCAAAAAAACATGTTTTGTCATTTTTTTTGCCCAAGTCAAGGTGCAGATTTCTGCACCCTGAGTTCGGCAAAATTCATACTTGGACATTGATTGCATTTAAAGGATACATGATGTAGACGTAGAAATAATGGGGAAATTTAGTACTTGAAAAAAAATGGTGATCATCAGGGATAATATTGGCGGCTTTATACCAAAGGTATATGGGGGCACTACCCTAGAAGAAACATGAGCGTGGTTGAAACAAATAGATATAGTACATACCCTATAAAGGGATGATGCCCATTCCATTTTAATCCAGCAATTGGTCGGGTACCCTTTAAGGGAAATGGTAGTGGACCACCGTTTATCCAAAGAATATGATAGAAAAAATAATCGTAATCGATACGGGGATGATACCAATTTAATCAACCAATTGGTTGCCTAAGAGTGAAAATAATAATGCACATATGATTATCCATGAGCATGGTAGAAAACAACTAGATACACTAAATAACAAATGGTAAGATGATACCCATTTAATCAACCAATTGGTTACCTCATAGGGGAAATAATATGAAATAATAAGGTACCTCTAATAATATTCAATTCCACCATATATAAAATATTTGGAAAGAGCTAAGAATCCATTTCCAGAGACCCCAGATCAATTGCGAAACCTTCTCTATGATTTATGTATCCACTTCACCCCCGCGAACAGGCCGGGCGTAGGCGCTGATTACAACAATGGTTTTTGGACCTGTTTTTGACGAAAGAACCCCTACCAG